GGAGGGGGGGGGTGGTGGTGGAGTGAACATAGAGAGCTACAATGCCACCCCCCTCCCCTCCAGTCCATATCAGAATGTGGTTTTGGTGCTTGGATGGGAGGTCTAAATAATGAATAATTTAACAAACTAATTCACTTCGGTAGAATTAGCTGGAGTCTGTTTAAAATTCATGGACTGCGGTAATTTAATATTGTGGGTTTTTGCCTTCGTCCCTATAACACGCTCACATTCAACGATATGAGAAAATATTTCCCTTTTACAATCAAACCTGTTCAAACGGCCACCTGTCCAACACAATCACTCGAACAGAAGACAACTTCCCATTTCTCCTTATGTAAAATGTAATTTTTCTGTATTATTATTATTACAATGACACTGCTAAAGACGTCCACCTTGTGAGACAACCATTTTCCTCCTTGACAACTGGTGACCCTCTTGGGCAGTTTAGACGGTATTTTTATTTCATTTTGAGTTTTTTAAAAAGCGCATCGACACCCAAAGGGGGCATGTTGTATGAGAAGAGGTAAAACAGAGAGACAGAAGACACAAATGGAGAGAGATGAAGTTTGACTGCCAGTGGCGCCCCCCCCTCCAAACCACCCGCTCTGGTAATTGAAATAAACCTGATTTGCATTCATCCCATCAACATATCGACATGGGTGCTGACGTAGTATCCCTGGGAAAGGCCCTTTACACAACAACTTTTCCTAATATCACCCTGGTGGGAAATGGAACCCTGCAATAGACAGCGAAAGATCTTGCCAGTATGTTAATGTTTGAGCACTTAACCGTCTGTATGCACTCTATGCATCCCGAGCAATTGAGAACGTTTCTGAGTGTTCTAGGGTCTGCTGGGTTAATAATAGTTGTAAAGTGCATAGAGCATGCTTCAGAGTGTGAATATGTGTATACGATGCTCTTTTAATTATGAATAGGTTAAACAATCGGTTGATGGATCAATCAATCAAGTTGTTAGTGTCCTTGTTCGCTACAATAGTTGAACGGAAATAACAACCACAAAGCATTACAGATATGAATAAAAGCCACCTCTCCCCTTTTCCCCCTTCCTATTTTAATTAAACAGGTAACAAAAATGGCTAACGCTATTTCGGTAAACATATTCAGTATGTTATTGGCAATTCTTGGGAATTAGAAGGAGAATCAGCCCATTACACTGTACATTAAGCGCGTGTTCAGAGAGTAGGCGCGATCCTTCAACTTTAAGACGAGGATCTCGATGAGAACTTTTATGCCCGACCCCACCTCTTTCCTTTGGCCACTTGCCATTTCACCTCGATGGTATTCAATTAATTACCCCCCCCCCCACGCGAACACACATACTTTTCCTCCTACTTTCAAACATTATTACACACTTTAAAACCCTGCCAACCGCAAACAAACAAATACTCACATATACACTGATACATACATACTCATACACTCACCTTAAAACACACACGCACACACACACGCACGTGCGCGCACACACGCACGCGCGCATACACACATACACATATACACTCACCAGTAGATGTGCATATAAAAATAGACATAATTTGACGATGTTAACAAAAGAGACGAGGATGAATATATTGACCAGAGTGGATGGATGGATCAGGATGGATTCCTCACTTAAACTGAGTTCTATCATAAGTTCTATAAATATATTTCGACTCATCTCCGCAGGATACCAAGTTGCAAAAATTAAAGTAGCGTTATTAACGACCCAGTAGGCGTTAGGGAGCACAATGCAAAATGCAAACTTACTTCTGCTGCTGGTAAGGAAACGGGTCAAAGAACTAGAACTAAGTTACTTGGTAACGTGAAAATTAGCCCTGTCCTCCTTTTCCACTCCATGTCCCATTTCTTCTTCTCAAGGGAATTCAGGGGGTGGGGTGGTGGAGGGATGTCCATGTATGCAACGATAAAAGCCCCTAACTAAATACCGCCCACTCCATTTTCGTAATTGCTACAACATTAATTTTTGACTACCCCCCCCCCTTCTCCACCGCGTGTGTTTCTCGTTCTCGCATGTTGCTCATGAGCTACGAAAGGTAACACACCAGACGGGAGTATAAGAACATATAGGTAACACACAATATAAGTTTTTAGTTTATAGTGTACAATGCATTCCACCTACACCAAGCTGAGTGTGCTTGACCTAGGTGACCTCGAATGATAAAAGTTAGCCAGAACTTCAGGTTTACTTCTCGTAGTCAGCTGAAGGCTACTTACAACTAATCATCCTTGATATAAAGTCTCAAGGTGTGTTGGCCTGTTGTATGCGCTAAAATGTCTTTTCACACATGGGAACGCCAGATTACGCTGCAAGTAAGGTCCAGGAGTACACATAGACGATTATTTTTTCTTTAAAAAAAAAATCTTTTTTGTTATCTTTACTTTATCTCTTTAAAAAAAATCATCACCCGATGCCCGTTCAGTTTTCTTAAAACCAGCCAATTTAAGAAATTAGCGAAATATACTTAAAATCAAGTGATATGTGCGCACGTCATGAACAAATGTGATATTAACACGATAAGTTTTACGACCCTAGCAGGATTTCCAAGTGCGTGGCCATCCATTAAGATCCATGTAGACTTGCCCAACATGTCCGATTCAGGCGATCCGTGACACGCCTTCATTTAGAGTTGTTAATTCTTTAATACACAACAGTGGAGTAGGCCATAACGTTTAAAAAAAACAAAAAACAACCAACAACTCCAAAACAACAACAAAAACCCCAACAAAAAACAAAACAAACGAACAACCCCCCCACAAACAACAGAAAAAAGCAAAACAAAAACAACAAAAACAAAACAAAAACAAAACCAAACAATTTTGACACCCTTCAACGTTTGCAGGGACGTCGGCTCGAAAGTCACTGAGCCATGTCTTTGAAACATTTTCCACCTTACACCACATGGAAGACGTTTTTAAAAGATCTCAGCTTTGCAAACACAACCAGCACGATCAACTCTCTATTTTCATTGCTGGACTGGACACGACTGCAGCAAACAGAAGTTGACATTGTTCTGTAGCGCCGACCCCAGCGACAGAGAGTATAAAACGGGCCCGTGAATTATTAAACTTGGTAGTTAATAACTGTCCGCTGGGAGCTTCTGTTCAGGTCTGCTCGTCTTTGGCAGTGAGTAAACGAACTCTCACAACGTGATTTTTATTTTCATTGCAGAGATACTTTGTCCTACGTCAGGTGTGAGGAATAGGGAAACTCATAATTAAGTCATGGATACCACAGCGAGGCTTTTAGTGTGCATCTGGTTTCTGTCGATGAGCTGTGAATCGTCATCTGGAAGCGAGGTGTATGTCTCTGATCATTATGGCAACACTGCATTCACGAATGGAACCATCAAGTACGTGAGGCCTCTTCCAGTGGGGAACGCTACCTACTCCACCATTTTGGACTACGATGACAAAGGCTTGAAGTTGTTGTATGGGTTCGCTCGCAGCTTTGTTCAAGACATACAGCCGGCGTCGTTTCCTTTCGGTGAGTGTGGTTTTTGTTTTTCACTCATACTTACTTCAGGTGTGGGAGCGATACAATAAAACCTCATATCGACGGAATAGACGAAGGAAGCAGGGTATAGTATAGGAACGGATTTTTTCTTGCCAATGACCCCCACGCCATGCGCCACCCCCCCCCCCCCCACACACACAAGGTCACACGCACACACACATACAAACACACACACGTACACAAACACACACACTCACACGCACGCACACACACACACACACACACACACACACACACACACACACACACACACACACACACACACGCACACACACCACATCACACTTCAGCACCTCTCCTCAGCCATTTGCTTTTAATGTACAGTGATGCGTATCAAATTCTATTAATGGGTCTCTTAAAAATAATCTCTCTTCAAAGCTTTAAACTGCTCTGTGGCATATTTAGTTATTCTGATTCGGCAAGTTAAACACCTTTGGAGCTAGGCTGGAATACACGTAAATTTACCCTGGTCCCTGCAGTAAATCTGCACCAACATTTCTGGTTTACAGGATAAGCATGTTCTAAAAATAATTATAGTGTGCGCACTCACAAAACACAGAAGCAGACTGCGCTGTGACTGCACCTGAGTAAATACCGATCACACACGATTTTCCAAGTGTTGGAAAATTATTTACCTTTTCATCCTGATTTTCATCCTGATGTGCTATAACGATCTCTAGCCTACACAACACGGCAATGCTTTCACTTAAGGGCAACTGCACGAGGCCACTATAATAGTATCTGTGGTGTAGCGGTTAGGTATTTCGTCGTCGCACGCAGAAGACCCAAGTTCGATTCCCGTGTGGTGAGAATTTTTATCGAATATTCCGGTCTTCCTGCGGTGACGTTGAAAACTTCTAAGCTCGGGTTGGCCCTGACAGGCAGGGAGAAGCCCCCCCCCCCCCCTTTTAATGAGGTAAATTGTGTCGACGGGGACAAAAAACAACACTTGAAAAAAAAATAAGCGAAGCCTTACCTGTAAAACACACTGGGTCTGGATTTCTCCCTTGGAGTGAATAGTACACCCTTTCTCAAAAGAGATGGCGAGGCTTATTTCACAATGTCACTTACTATAATCTTATTCCGTCTGACCGTTTATTCAGTAAACTCAATGCGTGATGTATCCAGAACTGATTGAATTGTTATGCTTACATCAGTGTCGAACCATTTAAAACAATGCCAAGGATTGGGTACCCATATAGTGACGCCACAAGAACAGAATGATATATACGTTGACAAGAACCACGACTATTATAATGGTCAGTGCTGTGGTTTGGCCTTGAGTACACAGAATAGTTTCCCAACCGTTCTAGGTCGTTGTCCGAGGGAAAAAAAATCAATACATGAGGACAATCAATGATTAAAAGCGATTCCTTCGGGAAATAATTGTTCTCTGCAACGTTTACTTCACTTCATGGAAAGTGGTATTCGGATTTTCATAATATTGTCTTTGTAGTATGAAACCAGACATGTCGGTTTTGACAAGACACTTTCTTTTACCTCAATGAAATGCATTTTTTTAACGGATAAGATATCAAACTCATTTAAGTCGTTTTCGAGTGCAACATATCACATACAGACCTGGGCCCAAACTTGCTGGAATTTCTTTTTTTTGGAAGTCATCACCACAAACGTTAGCGCATACATTACTGTTTATTCATCCACTGGAGGCTAGATAAAAGGCTAACATCAGAGTAGTTTTCAGATTGAAAAGCAAATAATTAGAAAGCAATGGCTATTGTGTCTAATTGTACCAACAGGCAATACACTGAATATGGAACCTACTCTCCTCTTGTACTAAAAAAACCCCGACAAACTTGGTCTCAAATAACTATGTGTAGCATAATCAGTTATCTGACGTACTTTTCAGGAACCATTTTCAAACCAAGATCCACTGGTGTCTTTAGTCTTTAGTGTAGCGGTTAGGCATCGGGCCAACTCACGTAAAAGATCTGAGTTCGATTCCCATGTAGGGAGAATTTCTATCGAGTATGTCGGTCTTTGTGCAGAGATGTTATATCCCTCTCAGCCCAGGTTGGCACTAACAGACAGAACCAAAGCCCGTCTCCTAAGTGATCTAAATTATGTCGATGTATGGGAACGTAAAACATGCATATTAAAATATTTATAAAGAACTAAGCCTTCATTCAGTGTAGAGATTACAGTCACCGAAATACATGTTGTTATAACTCTGTGCTCCCAATGTCTGACGAAAACTTTGGGCCCAAAACAAATTATAGTCCCGATGGGAGCCTGCAGTTTTAGGGCTCGCCTTGATGGGAAGCCACCAATTATCAGACTGATGGACATTGTCATGAAGTGAGCCAGCCAGGTATTGATTTGACGTGAACAGCTAACGATTTTGTTCTCTGTTGACAGATATTGCTGAAGAAATTGCGCAGAGTAATTTTGTGCTGGAGGACGACTACACTAAGGTATGGAGAGAGAGAGAGAGAGAGAGAGAGAGAGAGAGAGAGAGAGAGAGAGAGAGAATCTTTTTAAACCCTCATATTTGATGGCAGATAAAAATCCTCGAAGCTTTCAGTTTACCGATATCCAAAAGAGCACGCTGTGGACACGCACGCAGATGTGTTATGTAGACATTCCGGTTTAGCAACAGCCGTTACATTTATTAAACTTTCCCCTTATGGTGGCATCCTCTTCAACATCACACAATTTATACACATAATACATTTTCCTTTGGTGCTTTTTGGTTTTTTTTGTGGCAAGTTTCTGCCCCCCCCCCCCACATCCTGACCTTTCTCTCCCCCCCACCCCCCCAATTCTAGCAACCACATGTGTTTATACGATAACTACGAACATATTACGTACTATTTGTTTTTCCTCACAGATTATTGAACACTTTTCTGGCATAGCGGCCTGTGTCGTCATTGGAGTTGTGTTTGCTGTGGTGTTTTTAATAGCAGGTATTAGTTTTTGCTGCTGTCGATGCTGCTGTGGCAACTGTGGTGGGGATGAAGTTCAGGTATGTCTTCTAAACGAAAGAGAGATCTGAGTGTCTGGTATTTTTAAATAATGTCTTTGCGTGTTGTCCTTGTGTGTTCTGTTTTTGTTATAATTAAATTCTCTTTAGTTCAACACTTGTCCGATTACATCAGTGGCAGATTGTGACCATCACTGTGTCGATATTTCGTAGGCTTAAAATCAGATAGATCTGTAACGATATTGCTATTCCTACATTTATAGTGATATAACCTTCTTATAACTTTTTCGGCTCCTTACTATCTTGGTGGGTGGTTGGTGGGTGCTCTGGTGTGGTTTGCTGCTTCTTTCCTATCAAAAATCTATCGTCCAGATCTCTCCTCCTTCTTTTTTATGTTTGTTGCTCTCTTGTAATACCTCTAATCTTCGGCACTTATATGACCTTATTGTGTTGCAAGTGCCGTAAAACTCTTACTAAAATTAAACTTTACTGCCTTGGAAAAAACATTAAAAAAAGGTTTCAGGGATTTGCTACACTCTCAAGTGACAAACGTTTCTATCTTTTGAAACTGGGCGGACAATTTGGACATAGTTCGGGACAAACATATTGTTTTATTTATGCAGCCATCTGTTTTATGATAGGAACGATCTGGGCATTTAAGAGAAAAGAAGTACCACTCAAAGCTACTTTTTTCTGTGATGTTTATTTGCACGTAGATTCGTACAGGTAGCCACACTCAGAATAAAGACCATGAACGACTCACGCATTGCATTTTCTCTCTTTATTATCTCTAGGAGTTCAAAGGCAACGAAGGATGTATGAGAATGGGCCTCACACAAGCTCTCATTCTAATGACAGCTTGCATGGTGTAAGGATAAACTTTTACACTGTCTATTTCTTAATATTGGTGAGCGAGCAAACAACTCCTGAGAAATGATTCACTGGGGAAGAATATATTTAAACGATTTTATCCTAGTAAGATATTATAACTGGATATTCTTCATCACGTTGAGAATTTGAAGACATCAGAGTCGAAATGTTTGAATCTAGGCGTATGCCCTGACACGGGGACTAATGATAAGGAGAAAATACCAGCCATTACACAAACATATCGGTGTTCTTTATTTGCACATCTGTGAAAAGAATTCGGTAGATATTGACCAATATTGATGCTTAAACATCTCCCAAGCTTGGTATTCTCCCAGGAACAAACCTACTATCTATCTATCTATCTATCTATCTATCTATCTATCTATCTATCTATCTATCTATCTATCTATCTATCTATCTATCTATCTATCTAT